TTTACTAGTGTTACCAGTGTTATATACTATAGATAATATCAAATGGTCACGACTGTTTATGACCGTTGTAAGTGAAACAGTACCACTCATACAACAACGTACTTGTTTTGGTTTGGGTGTTCATGCATGTAATTTAGACAGTAACGTGATTATGACGTAAATTAGACATATCAACACAAATCTTTAACATTCACGTACTTAATCGGTTGTGGGGACGGTTGTAAGTGAAACAGTACCATGGCATATTTTTGTTTGGGTTACAAATGTTCTCAAAAAGTTATAACTTTTGATGTTCAAATTAATAGTCATGTCTTTTTGAGTTTCAACCAACAGACATGTCTTTTTGGTTTGAACCAACAGACATATCTTTTGGATTTGAACCAACAGACATGTCTTTATATATATACATGTATATCATGTATGTTGAGTTACTTTGAGTTACAATCAATAGTCCTATCTTTTGGGGTTAAACCAACAATCATGTCTTTTGAATTTAAACCAATAATCACGTCTCTCCACCCAGAGTCATGTGTTACATGCACCCCTACTTACTTTATCAATAAGGGTCTTTAATTTAATATTTATAACATGTATAAATTTTGAAAATTTTGGATCTTATTTTGTCCCTTAAATATTAATTTTCATAAATATGTCATTTTTCTTAAAGTATTATTACTGGTTGAATGTTTTATATATTTGATGATATACATGACATAGTCAATGATTAATTTAAAGTTTCATAGCATATAAGTTTATGAAATTATACATGTTATTGAAATTATATACATAATTTTGCATATGTCTCATGTTATAAATTGTTGCATAATATGTATATGGTATTTTGATTCATTTAGGAAAATTGAATCATTTTGCAATCCTAAGCACAAGTGTCGTTAAGTTTGATCGAGTGTTTAGTCACCAAAGTGGCACACTTATGAAAATTTTAATGATATTTGTAGCTAGTAACAAAATTATTATTTTGTTAAAGTCAAAGGATTGTGTTGACGTTTAGTAAAGACGAGCAATGATCAAGCCCAAAAGTGGGTCATTGAGTTTGTTCAACTAAGCAGATTGAGGTAATTAGTGTAGAAGACACAACTAATGACTCACTACGCCCAAAGGAGTATAAGTTGTTATTGTATTTTCTATGATTAATTAGCTTCAAAGGTGAAAGTTATTTCACCAGTGGGAGACTAATATATGATAATTTTGGCCCAAAGGAAAGATAATTATATGTTATGTTGATCCCATTCAGAGTGAATTGTTTTGAGACATTATTTAATTAACTCTGGAAAGTTTAGTTGACCTTCCCATCAATTAAATTGTAAATGTGTGACCTTAGTTATTCTCAAAGTCATTAGGAATAAAATTCATCTTTAGTGTTACATGTGGATGACAGTGACATTATTGTACATGAGATTAAACAATTTAACTTCTCAAACATTTGAGATGAAGGTGTTAGTGAAGCATTTTTGTTGGCATTAAGTTTCACCTAAATAATTCTCGTGAAATTTTGAATTGCCACAATTAAAAAACCTACTTTGATAGAGTTCTGAAAGTATTTGACATATGACACTATAGAGATAGAATTGTACCCATTGTAAAAGTTGAGAAATTTGGTAATCTAATTACCAAGAAAATATCTATAGTAGTATTAGGTGAAAGGCATTTTCTACGCCTTTGGGAACCTAATGTATGCTCTGGTTTTGCATATGGTTAATTATAATATAGCATTTGCTAGTTAAGTAGATATCATAGTGATCTTGGTTTGGATTTATAGTACGCGACAAAGAAATTTATAAGGTATCTGCAAATAATTAAGAACCAAATCTTTTTAGAAGTGGTGAAAACTGACTTTGCTGGTTGTCAGGACAGTATATAAATCCACTTCAAGTATTATTTTACCATTATGATAATTGATAGAAGCGGAGTTTATTTGCATATTATAAGGTCACGTTTCATGCATTATAAAATATTAGTTTTGGACTTCAGGTCAATAATTCTGCTACAATCTAGTAGTTAAATAAACAATAAGAGTTCAAGTTGGTCTATAATATGACCTTTAATACCTTGTTATGAAATAGAGGAATCAGAACCAGCTAGTGTTTGATTGAGCACATTGATACACAACAACAGATTGTTGATCCCATGACTAAGGGTTTACCGTTAATGTTGTACAGTAAGCATGCATATTTCTCTTTGACAACTAATTTACTTAGTTAGTGGAAGGTTGTATTTTGCTCAGGTAAAGATTATTATCCTCATTTACTAGATTTTCGATATTAGTGCACGTGTGTGTGGAAAATTTTATGACTTAAGTGTTTTATTTTGAGACACGGTGTGTCCTTATTGAGACACGGTAGGACCGATACATGACACGAATATTGTGTTAAATATATGCGCATATGGTATATATGTGACTTTGGAGTTGAGTTTGTTAGTATTAGTGACCATTGGTGTCTTATATCACTATTGATATAATAACGCCCTTGATCCCATATTAGTATACTCGAAGATACTCCAAATTGAATGATAGACGTGTTTCTTATAAATATATGGATTAATTTCTATAGTACACTCAATGATCATTTTGATCTTGAAGTGATCAAAATTAATTATTGTTAGATTACGTGGAAGAATGTAAGCAAATAATAGCCTAACAATAATTGAGTAATATTAATCATTAGATCATTTATGTAAGAAAGGTTGTATCCTATTTAATTGAGTTGCATTATCACTTCTTAAAGGGTGTATAGTTGCATATATGAAGAGTTGTGTTAATTGATTGAACCAACACACCTCTTAATGTTTATGTGGAACGGTCCCAATCCTCATCTATATATTTGTGTAAAAAGTCTGGAATCCATCATCATGTATGCATAGAGAAGATTAGAGGGTTGAAGATCGTTTCCAATCAGAATATGTCAGGACCGTTGTACTTATCTTCAATATAGTTTCTATATTCGGGTATGTCTTTCTCTATATAAATTTATGCATTGGAGCCATGAATCCTATTTAGAATGTAATTGCTTACAGGATCAGCCATAATACACTAGACAATCAAGAATTTAATGTCCTGGCATGGGTTAAACAAAGATGTCAAGAAAACAATGAACATGTGACATCCCACATAACTTAGGAAGACAAGTTGCTGGCATTTATAAGGGAGGATGCAAGGAAGCTATGTTACCTGGACTTGCCATGTTAGACCTCAAGGTCTGTGTTGTGCCCACGACACGTACATCGACATATAATATGGGTCAAACACACTTTCGAAACTATCGGAGTCGATTGAAGATATGCTCATGGAAGACTGTTTCGATGGATTCTTGTGATGGATTTTGAAATTTTTATTTATGAGATTGACTGTCATATGACATTTTCATGTAGGTTTCTGGTTCGAAAATAATATATATATATATATATATATATATATATATATATATATATAAAGTTTTGAAATTGTTCTTATATGGAGACAATTTCACTCAAATTCAATTACTTATCAAAAAAAAAAAAAAAATTCACTCAAATTCATTTACTTATCAAAAAAACAAAAAAAAATATTCACTCAAATTCAACTCAACCTTATAAATTAAGCAGTCACAGTGCTTATTATTGGATCCCTATCCTTAAAATAATTTATTGGTGTAGGATAGGCCCCTAAGAGCAAGAAGTGAAACCAAAGGACTTTGGTATGATACAAACATTCCTCAAAAAAATAAAAAATAATTATATTGAATCAATTTATGGTCATGAGTGGGTCCTCCACTTACTTGTAAAATAAAAAATTTACCCAAAAAAAAATAATTTATGGTCATGCTTCTCTAGAGACTACAAAAGAACACCAAGTCAAATACCTTCTCTTTGATCCCTTTAGCAGTAGTATGCTGGGCTTGACCCATTGTCTTATGTTCTCTTTCATCATTAACAGAACCACCTATTTCTCAAACAAAGGCTGACATAAAAATTATGTAACCAAAAAATAAAAAGAAATCCAATCCCCTGATTGATAAACTTCTCCATCAGAAATAATAAACTTACACCACCGGTGCTACCCTTATCTATAGATGAAGTGTGATACCTTCCTTCGGGTCCACCAGGTGCGACACTTTGGAAGCTGAAGGTTTGGTTACCGTCGAATGAACCACAATTTGTTTACTTATTAGCAAGAAAAACTATGATGACATATACATTCAAAACAAAGGCGCATAGGATTAATTAAATGCAAAAACACCAGGTACCACAATCATTTTCATTGGGGGAAGTAATAATTGGCACTGCAACTTTTGGTAGCACTAAAAGTTATCATCCTCCAAAAAAACATTAAGTTTACTGAATAAGTGTCTGCTGCAGTTGAAATCGTGATATTTAACTATCTTATAAATTATAAGCGTAATCCTAGATTTATAATATGTATATTTGTTTATCTGATTGGGATGATAGCTAAGGTAATGTTTATTATTGATTTTTAATTTTTCTTTTTTCTTCTTTTCTTTATCTTTGTTTTTTCTTAATTAATTAATTTCAGTATTGTACATTACAATTCACAAGAAGAGAAGATTACGCTCACTATCGATTCTTTGCATATAAAATTGGATTTATGCAAATAGAATTGCATAAGAACAAATTGGTTTTGAATGCAGCCCTTATCATAACACCAACAATAGGTTGTTGACCAATAAAATAAAATAAAATAAGGGGTGAGTGGGTTCTGAGCCATTAATTTATAAATAATATATTTGTAGTATTATTTTAAAAATTATTAATTAATATAAAAAGAGTTTTTATAAAATTCTAAGACAAATTACCTAATTATTATAATTTTTTATTTTCTTAAATATTATTATTTATATATAATAAATAATAATGTAAAATTATTCTTCTATATATATGATTTTTTTTTTTTTTTTTACTTACTTATTTGCATCTATTCTTTTAAATATATAATTATTTTTATTTACGGAGAGAGAAAAAAAGATCCGGTAACAGGTCCGTACTATCGTTACCAACGCTCCTAATTTTTATGTTATTTGAATGGTGATTATGTTTTGTAAATTTTTCTAGGGTTGTGTTATTTAACATTTCACACACCCAGATATGAATACAAAATTTATGTTACGTAAAATCGGTTTATTCACAGAGTTGTATCAATTCTAGGTTTACATCTTCATTTGGGTTTTTATATTTAGACCGATAAATTCACATTTACTTTATATGGGATTTCATATCCTCTGCTTCTGATTCTGAGGTATTTGGGGTCAATTTTTGTTCAGGTGACCTCTTAATTTCTTTGTTGGAGTACAATGGCTTTCTTTGTTGGAAAAGATCCATCTGATGTTGACGATGACGATGATGCTGACTCATCCTTCATTGATCCAGATATCATCTTTGATGGTTCTCTTCCATTTTATGGAAAATCTGGCTCTAAGTGTCAGTTGATAGAAATATCTATTGAAGATTTAGACACTTATGTTAACAATCTGGCACTTGATAAAGAGGATAGTCCTACTATCCCCAGTGAAAATGCTAATGGTACCTGGTGTTTTTGCATTTAATTAATCCATCCTAAGTACCTTTGTTATCAATGTGAGTGTGTGTGTATATATATATATATATATATATATATTATCATATATAGTGTATTTGCTTGCTAATAAGTAGAACATTTTATGGTTCATTCCACAGGGAACCAGAACATCAGATTCCGAGGAGTCAAAAATGGTGGATTGGAAGGAATGCATGGTACTTCCTCTTTGGCTAGGGGTAACACCAGTGATGGAGGAGTAAGTGTCTTATTTCTGACTAGTGTAAATTGACTAGTTCAATGTAAATATTTCCTGATATTGCCATTAAAGTAGAACAGGGGCTGTTGGTTGGTCGGCCCTGTGGCAAAAGTTGATAGCTCCATGGATAAGAACTTCAGCTTGATTTGATGAACCACACTGGGTACTGATTTGATTTAGAACTTCAAGTGAAAAAGTGGGAAAAGGAACCTAATAAAGGTTGTCATCAACATTGGGAAGATAGAGAAGAAGTCTTTACTCAGAGCATGACTAGTGTTGCTTATGTAGGGCCATTCCCTTACCATGAAGCACAGTCCTGGTGGCAAAATGGATACATATCAGGCTTTGCACAATAATGATGAAGGTTTGTTTCCTTGTGTAAATTTTAGAGTTGTTATATTTAATAAATGTATCAACTGAAGAATTGACATTATAGAGTTTTCTTAGATGGCGCTTTTATTGAAGAAGCTCAGAGGTCTCTTCATGCCTGGGAGATGAATTCGCTCAGCTATAAAGGTAGCTTTTCCATCTAACCCTAATAAATTGGTGTATCACAGTTTTCTTGAGATTGTAGGTAACCACTCCTTGTGCTCCTGAGAATTTCGTGTCTTTATTTCGTGTTTTTTGATGGGAATGAAAAATTGACCATTATTTTTATACTTGTTTATTTTCTAAGCTTCACGATGACTGTAGATATTTGAACTTGATGTGTGTTGAAATCATAATGTGATGAGTTAGAACCTACTAATTTTATCTTGGGCATAACCTACTAATTTTGTCTTTTTTTTAATGGAAGATCAATGGCAATGTGGCAACTGTGCTTGATAACGTGATGAGTTGATACTTATTATTGATGGACGCAATAGTAACGTTGCATATTTATGGGGATTTAAAATGGTTAATATTGCATATTGTTTCTTGCTATTTTCTAGACTTTAACAAGTATGGCATGATTAATAAGAAAATGCAGAAAAGAATGAGAAGTCGTTTTTGATTTATTGAAGTGGCACCACTCCAGATACGTACTAATAAAAAAAAATGTTGAAATGAAATTTTTGCATGTCTGTCAGGAACAATGTGAATTTTGTGCTTCTATCAGTGATTTATGCAATCCTATGAGCTGGATCGTGATTTTCATAAAGCTTGCATGAAACATTTTTGTAAAATTTAAATATTGTTGCTGATGTATGTGGTCCAAAATCATTCATAAATCTCACTAGAAAGCCATGGAATTGACTGTAGGATTGACCAATCTTCTCTTTTCTATTTCTTCTTGTTTTATTGAAAATTTTGTCTTGGAAATAAATATAGTATGAATCTAGTACCTTGTAATTAGCTACTATTGTAAAATTATATTCGGATTTGTTTGATATTTGTGGAAAGCATGTTCATATGAAATAATAGCGGAATAAAAAAATGTAGTGAGGATAACACTCTTGGTCCAGAGTAGTCGATATAGCTTTCCTTTAGCCATTGTTAATCAATTGTGAGGTAGCTAGGAGATGATCGTATGATGGGTGATGGCTTCCTCGGGATATAACATGATTTGAATGGAGAAATGTATGACGGATGACTAAATGTGGGTGACAGTTTGGATTTTGAAATTAATAGTGGAGAAATACATCAAGCATGAAGAGATTAAAACAGAAGAATAGGAGATCCTAGGGTCTTATTTGGAATTCTAAAGCTTTTGTGTGCTGCATTCCCTGTTTGAATGGTTTCTAATACAATCTTACTTATAAAAAATAAATAAAGGACAGTATCAAACTCAGAAGAATCAAGAACAGGCAGAACTTGTTGTACAATAATTCATATGAGAGTATCATGAATAAATCTGAACTTTTTTCAAGTTTTTGTTGATAGTCACAACTTTGATTGTTTTTATTTATGTTGCCTTTCAACTTTTTACATTTTCGTTTTTACATGAACAAAGAGTGAATTAATTTTTGTGATTATTTTCCTTGTTATTTGCTTCTGCTGTGATGATAAAATTAACACTAATTTTCATATGTTGATTACTCTTCATACATTGTTTTTTTATTTACAAATGATTATTCGTGTTTTGTTTGTGATTTGAATTTTAATTTGGCTAATGGTTCTTAATTTTTACATGAGGTATCATGACTGTCAAAATGCATGTGATAAAAGATAATTTGTTCGCTGCATTTGTCGTAACAGGTCGGATTCTTTCATTTATAAAATTATAAGATAAGGGGGACTCGGCTATAAATGGTCCAATAGTGGACACGGATACTTTGACACGTGTGCATAGGTAAAGGATATGTAACTATCTACACTCTTATTGTTAAAGATAAAAAAGGACATGCATCAGTTTGTCCTTAGTAGGAAAAATAAATAAATTGTTAAAAGATCACTTTAACGTGCATCAGTTTGTCCTTATTAGCAAAATAAATAAAATTGTTAAAAATCACTTTAAATAGTAAATAGTCTTAAAACTATAGTTTCTATCAAGTTCTGGTATTGTCACAAATAATTAAACTTCTCTTAGACAAATTTCTCTCTTTTCTTTGGTGAAGAGAAAAAAGAAAAAAATCTCCATTTCTAATTCCTCCACGTGCATCATTTCTTGTTTTGTGTTATGACGGAACTTGCCTCAAGCTGTGTAGATATGAGTGTTGGATACTGGTGTGTCTCCCAAGGTTGGATTCTTTCATTTATAAAATTATAAGATATGGGGGCTCCGCTATATATGGTCCAAAAGTTGGACACAGATACTTTGACACATGTGCTTAGGTAAAGGATATGTAACTATCTACACTCTAATTGTTAAAGATAAAAAAGGACGTGCATCAGTTTGTCCTTATCAGCAAAACAAAAAAATTTGTTAAAAGGTCAGCTTTAAATAATAAATAGTCTAAAAACTATAGGCTCTATATATTTTAATTATTGAATAATAAACAATTTTAAATAAAGAGGACAGCTCAAGTGTCACTTCTCCTTAAAAAAAGGGGGGAAAAAAGAAAAAAGAAAAGGACACGTCATTTTTTATATGTATTTTATTTGTTTAGGTCTGCATTAGTCTTTATCACACTAATCTATTAATTAAGTAGTTGTTCTCTTATAGAAGTCGTCTTGCAGAAGTCAAAAAGATGGAAGCACACAACTCAATGTAATAAAAACACATAACAATAAAAGAAACGTGGTAGCCGATTGATCGCAACATAAAATATATATGAACGATCTTGTGAGGCGCTTGAATTCACTCTTTGGCGAGACACCAAAAATTGTGCAACTGCAGAGCTTTGGAGAACGTAAATATTCTCAAACCAGAAACCTCCATGGAAATGCTTGGTAGAGAACAGTGGCAGCAGCCTTTTAAGGTATATAAAAGGCGTGGCAAGGAGGGTTCTAAGGCTCTAACCTTAATTTGGCACGTTAGACGATGGGGTCCACTTGGAGGAGTCTTGCATGATTAGGGGATTTGGTCAAATTGAATTATTTTGGTAATTGCATTAATTATGGTGAAATTTCATTGTTTTGGTAACTTGCATCATTTAGATTAAATTGCATCAATTAAGTTATTTGTTACTTTATTAAGCTAGGGTCAACTTTTGATTACCTCCATTGTAGGGTAATCTAAGGGTCATCCTTTATTAAAAAAAGGATATTATGTAATTCTGATTGGGTAGTCAATGAATGAATAACAAAATATCTTTTGAGATTTCTTGTGAGTGATCCTCAAATTCTGAGGGCGTGAGGCCTGCTCTAGGTGTGATACGTAGGCCCTGTTGGAGTGATTCCAATAAGTTTTTCTTTGTTATTTTCATTTCTTCTTCTCCACTAACTATCCTTGAATCTTAGTTTTGTTTTCTGAATTTCCAGCCCACAATTCTTATTTGCTTTCTTCTATTTGAGCCCGTTCTTTGTCATCAATGCCAAACAAAATGACAATCTAACACCAAGACATTGAAAACTTTCCAAATCCATTACAAGAATCTACCGAATGAGTTTTCCATGAGCATTTCTTCATCAACTAAGTTTGATAGTTGTGAAAGGGTTTCCTACCCATGTCCTGTGTCGCCGTGTCCTATCGTGTTGACACGGACGCTAAAATGGCAAGTCCAGGTAATATGCTTGTTGGCACCCCTATAGGGTGCACTTTTCCCATATTCCAGCTTGGGATATGCTCTAATACCATCCGTAGAGACCTGTTTCACATTGTTTTTTTTTTTTTTTTTTTTTTTTTTTTTGTATCAGTGTTTACGGCTTTCAAAACACGTTTTCACATGCATGAGACATTTCTCCTTATCAGAGATGGCAATTTAAGTCGCCCTGGAGGTTCCCAACTTGTCCGACCCTGCTATGACGATTTTGGGATACTCTTTATAGGGTTAGGAGCGGGTATGGTAAAAAAAACTTAAATGTGGCTTGGGTCGGGGGCGGGGATAGGTTTTATGCTATCATGCTCAGGCAATAGTATGCAATATACATATATAATGCATCTGTGAAATTACAATAGTGCTATTATTATATATGTCAGCTTTCTCTCATGCAAACTCTAATCTCCAGGACTCCAACCATAACTGTCTCACTCATCGGGATAGGACGGGGTGTGAGTTATGTTCGCAGCGTGGGGATGGAATTTGAGTGTTAATCTGTTTTGGGTTCGGAATGGGGATTGGATTCGGAGTTGATAAATGTTGAGGGGTAGGGTTTGGGGAAATCCATCCCTTAGCCGCCCCATTGCCATCCCTACCCTTTACGAGTGCAAACAACTTCTACCCTCTGGAAGATGTGGGACATGTGACATCATCATTTAACCAATGCCAGTACTTTTTATTCTTAATTGTCTAGCATTCTATGGCTGGTCCTACGGTCATATTACAAAATTACTCCTTCAGTTGGATAGGTATCATTGATTGCAAGACTGAGAAACTCTTTATCCAATGTGATGGAATTTTATGGGTGGCGATGTCTGCTTTTCTGAATGATAAACCTAAGGTCAAATGAACAGAATTTTGTGCTCCCTTGTTAGAATTTTGTTTTTTTATGAATAAGAGAGAAAGAGGTGTCATTACGTGAACCATCAGTTCTACTTAGTAGTAAGGGCGTAGATTAAGTTGAGCACTAAATTTTTAGAATCGGAGGATAGAGCTTCTTAATGTTGGCCAAAGACGGTACAATCAGGATAAAAGCTTGTCATGGCTTCTGCTATGATTATTAATTTGGTATTATAGCATCAAGTATTAGCGTAACTCTAAATTTGGAAAAGAAGCTACGACTTATGAGCACTGTCAGCCCGCATTTATGAAAAAGGTGCAAATACACCCCCTCTGACCACTTTCTAATGAAATTTGACAAAATAATTTTGATATTCTGATTTCCCCTTTTACCCTTCCAAATTTTCCCTTCTCACTTTTCCCTACCTTTCTCTCCATGTGTACGCTCTCTCTCTTGCAAACATAAGCATTCTCTTGTCGTCTTACATGACATGTGTATGTGATGATCCAAGACAAATTTATATAAGAATTAAGAACATCACATATATGTGTAGCCATGGCCCCATGCATATTGTACTTAAATAAACATGCATATTGTACTTAAATAAACATGCATATTGTTCATACACAAACATATAAATGTATATATGTATGTGCTGATGTAAATGTGTGTTTTAGTGTGTGGCGTGAGGGAAAAAAGGGCAAATAATGAAAAAAGAATAAAGAATCAAATATAGTGATGCTTGTACTGTTCATATGTCTGGGAGGTGGTTTGCTACTGTGTATACTGGTCATTTTCAAGGATGTTTCTGAGTACGTGGTTTTGTTAAGTGAGAATTAATTCATGTTAAAATGGGTTTTACCTTGTAGAGAGAAAAGAAATGGAAAGAAATCGGGTTTGTGTTTGTGGTGGATTGAAGGGTCAGAAGTGAGGTATGGATTTTTGAATGACGATTATGTTGTCTCTTATCCTGGGTCGTTTTTAAAGCTAGAATTAGACTTGTTCGTCATTTTACTTCAGCTGATTTGTTTAATATTATTTTATTATATTGATAGGATATCATTTTAGTCTTTTTGAATAGATAGGTTCTTATTTCCACAACTTTAAAAGCGGGGGGTGTTTTTTTTTGCACTATATTGATGCTATAGGGGATTTTTTGCACTACCCTTCTCTTAAATGCATTATATTTTCTGCAGTATTTATTTGTTTCTCTTATTGTCTTATCATAGATAAATGCAAATCTGTAACAATCTGTTTTCTTTTTTCCCCTTGAATATTTAATTTTTTATGAAAGTGAAAACTGAAATGCATTTGCTGCCATGGGATCTCGCATAGCCCATTTTAATCCTACTGCTGTATTCCCAGTTAATTGCCTGGGTCTGCTTGTAGTTTGAAACTTTGTCACCTATTTTTTATTGTTTGAAACTTGGATTTGACTTTCTAGTGAACTGAGTATTGAAGGGCTGATTTTGCTTTAGACTTTCATGATGGCTTTTGATGTGATGTGGCTGTAAGAGTTGCATGGACGGTGTTGCTTACTAAATTTTCCTTAATCATATGCTTGGTTAATTTCACACTTTTTACCAATGTGTGCAGAGTGTAGCAGCAGGGATTGGATTGGTTGGAATCTGGCATCTGCCGAGTACTTGGAACATGCTCTAGGTGTTGCTCTATGAGTTGCATTAGTGGTGGTGCTTACTAAATTTTCCTTAAGCATATGCTTGGTTAATTTAACACTTTCTCCCAATTTGTGCAGAGTGGAGCAGCAATGAAGAAAATGATGACATCTCGCCTTATTTGGTTGGGATTGGCCATCAGCCAAGAACTTTGAAAGGAAGGCGTGGTACTTCCTCTATGGCTAGGGGTAACACCAGTGATGGAGGAGCAAGTGTCTTATTTCTGACTAGTGTAAATTGACTAGTTCAATGTCATTGAATTTTTATAACGTTGAGTTGAATTTGAGTGAAATATTTTCATATAAGAACTATTTGACCTCTTTATAAAGTATTATGGTCTGTGTTGAAAATTCAAGATTAGTTTCTTTTATTAATTATATTTCCATTTTGGAAGTTAGCACATCCCATGGCCCCTATGTTTGTGTGTGTATATATGTATATATTTCCTGATATTGCTTTAAAGTAGAAGAGGGGCTGTTGGTTGGTCGGCCCTGTGGCAAAAGCTCATAGCTCCATGGATAAGAACTTTAGTTTGATTTGATGAACCACACGGGGTACAGATTTGTTTTAGAACTTCAACTGAAAAAGAGGAAAAAGGAACCGAATAAAGGTTGTCATCAACATGGGGAAGGTAGAGAAGAAGTCCTTACTCAGAGCATGACTGGTGTTTCTTATGTAGGGCAATTTCCATACCATGAAGCACAGTCTAGGTGGCAAAACGGATACATATCAGACTTTACGCAATAATGATGAAGGTTTGTTTCCTTGTGTAAACTTTAGAGTTGTTATATTCAATAATTTCGTCAACTGAAGAATTGACATTTTAGTGCTTTCTTAGATGGGCTTGCTTTTATTGAAGAAACTCAGAGGTCTCTTGATACCTGGGAGATGAATGTGCTCAGCAATAAAGGTAGCTTTTCCATCTAATCCTAATAAATTGGTGTATCACAGTTTGCTTGAGATTGTAGGTAACCACTCCTTGTGCTCCTGAGAATTTGGTGTCTTTATTTCGTGTTTTTTGATGGGAATGGCAAATTGACTATTATTTTTATGCATGTTTTTTCTAAGCTTCACGATGACCGTAGATTTTTGAATTTCATGTGTGTCGAAATCATAACGTAATGAGTTATATAACCTACTAATTTTTATTTTATTTTAGTGGAAGATCAATGGTAATGTGGCAAGTGGCAACTGTGCTTGATAACGTGATGAGTTGATACTTATAATAGATGGACACAATAGTAAGGTTCCATTTAGCCATGCTACTATGGGGTACAACGTACTTTTGTTGAACATTGTGTAATGTTAAGCGAACCAATATGCGGGGTGTACCCTGTTCACTAAAGGGCCATAATATTGCACAAAAGAATGTGGTTAATTGATGATCCTCTTGCACGTTGTAGTGGGTGTGGTGGTTTTTTGAACCTTTTTGTTTCACTTTTCCATTTTCTGCTGCAACACAATAGGTAATGCTTTGTTGACTTTCAAGTGGTTGAATCTGCATGTGGTTCCCTTCCTTGCAGCAATACAACATTTAGATTCTTTGGCTAGAGCCAGGGCGGACTCAGAAAAGTATGTTTGGGGGTGGGGGGGAAAAGTGGAGTTTTTCTATAATTGTAGTGGGGGCAAAGTTAAAACTTTATAGGTATACAATTCCAAAAAAAAATAAATAAGAAGACAAAATTAGTAGGTTATGCCTTGCTAGAGTGAAATGGTGAAACATCGTGACGATGCTTAACTGAGTTGAGTATTTCAGTATATTTTCTCTATGCCAATTTAAATTTTGTATTTATTTTTCTTTTATTTATTATTTTTATTTATTGGAAGTCTTTTTGAGAAGCCTGATTGTTGTCCTAAATAATGCTTCATGGACAATATTGCTGAGTTTCATAGTAAACGCTTTCCTTATGGTTGTAGTACATGTGACTATAACATTTGCAATTTTGCCTTAGTCATTGTAGCTGCAACTATTTTTTAATACCATAGCCAGTTTACTTGGGGTATTACTATGTCAGACAGCTTGTTGCCTTCTTGAGCTTTAGGCAACCTTGCATAGACTTGATAGGGCTACAAAATGAAATGCTCGCCTTTTGGGCTGTTTCTTACATTTGTTGTTTATTTAGTTGGTCTTCAAGGAGTCTAGTCAGTGTGCCTTATTGAGAATGGTTTGGCCTCACATCCTTAGCTGAGAAATTGTTTAGGTCAAGAATCATCCAATCTATATCTATATCTGTTGGGAATTAAATCCCTTTTGTTCGGCATAGCGGGAGCAAACACATCACAAACATAGAGATCCAATCATCAAAAAAAAGTAAACAACATGCAACACAATATTTTACGTGGATCCTCGTAGAGAAGAAATTTCACTATAATGAATCAAGAAGATAATATGTAGCTATAGAGAATACACGCTCGCTCACTCGCTCATTAGAAATTAGAGACTTTTAACATCTAATCGTGTACACTCACCTTTTTGCTCAAGTATAGTGTAGGATATCCGAGCATTTCAAGATCTTCCACTCCTGGAGACCCCTTCTTGCCATCGTTGTTCCACCACTAACTCATCATCTCTACCCTCACACGATCACCAATTTTGTTCTCCCTCGTTAGAATTTAGGTTTTTATGAAAGAGAAAAAGAGGGGTCATTATGTGAACCATCAGTTCTTTATGAGTAAGGGCGTAGATTAAGTTAAGCACTAAATTTTTAAGAATCGGAGGCTAGAACTTCTTAATGCTTGCCAAAGACGGTACAATCAGGTTAAAAGCTTGCCATGGGTTCTGCTATGATTATTAATTTGGTATTATAGCATGGAGGATTAGCATAGCTCTAAATTTGGAAAAGAAGCTACGTCTTATGAGCACTGTCAGCCCCTATTTGTGAAAAAGGTACAAATACACCCCCTCTGACCACTTTCTAATGAAATTTGACAAAATAATTTTGATAATCTGATTTTCCCATTTTATCCTTCCAATTTTTCCCTTCTCACGAATCTTTCTCACTTTTCCCTACCTTTCTCTCCATGTGTACGTGCTCTCTCTTGAAAACATAAGCATTCTCTTGTCGTCTTACATGACATGTGTATGTGATCCATGCATATTGTACTTAATAAACATGCATATTGTACATACATAAACATATAAATGTATATATGTATGTGCTGGTTTGAACGTGTGTTTTAGTGTGGCGTGAGGAAAAAAAGGGAAAATAATAATAAAAAAGAATAAAGAAACAAATATAGAGGTGTGTGCTGCTTGTATGTCTGGGAGGTGGTTAGCTACTGTGTATACCGGTCATTTTCAAGGATGTTTCTGAGTACGTGGTTTTGTTAGGTGAGAATTAATTTATGTTAAAATGGGTTTTACCTTGTAGAGAGAAAAGAAATGGCGTTTGTGCACTAGTGTAGATTTTAGAGAGAAAGAAATCGGGTTTGTGTTTGTGGTGTATGTTGTCTCTTATCCCGGGTCGTTCTTAAAGCTAGAATTGGACTTGTTCGTTATTTTACTTCAGCTGATTTGTTTAATATTATTTTATTATATTGCTTGAATAGATAGGTCCTTGTTTGCACAAATTTAAAAGCGCGGGGGGGTGGTCTCTTAAATGCATTATATTTTCTGCAGTATTTTATTTGCTTCTCTTATTGTATTATCATAGATAAATGCAATCTATACAAATCTGTTTTCTTTTTTCCCCTTGAATATTTAAATTTTTATGTTAGTGAAAATTGAAATGCATTTGCTGCCATGGGATCTCCCATGGCCCATTTTAATCCTACTGCTGTATTCCCAGTTAATTGCCATTGAAGGGCTGATTATGCTTTAGACTTTCATGATGGCTTTCGATGTGATGTGGCTGTAAGAGTTGCATTGACGGTTTTGCTTACTAAATTTTCCTTAATCATATGCTTGGTTAATTTCACACCTTTTTCCCAATGTGTGCAGAGTGTAGCAGCAGGGATTGGAGTTTCGAGGATTTGGAACATGCTCTAGGTGTTGCTCTATGGGTTGCATTATTGGTGTTGCTTACTAAATTTTCCTTAAGCACATGCTTGGTTAATTTCACACTCTCTCTCAATTTGTGCAAAGTGGAGCAGCAATGAAGAAAATGAGGACATCTCGCCTTATTTGGTTGGGATCGGCCATCAGCCGAGGCCGAGCACTCTTTCTTCTGAGCAGAAAGCCAAAAAAAGACAGAAGCGGACGAAATGACACCAGATACTGAGCTAGGACTCTTTTCTTCTGAGGAGAAAGCCAAAAAAAAAAACAGATGCTAATAGGACTTGTTGCTTATCCACCAAGTGATTAGCTTTGGTAATGCTTGTGCTTCTCTTATCTGACATATATATAGATATAGGTTTATAAAAAGTATCTCTGGCTTGGGTTGCCATCTAACTTCCTCATGTAATGCCATCATGTTGAACAACGAAAATCTTAGGTATCTTCAATACTGAATTTGGTAACAATTGGTTGATAGCTTTGATCCATGATAGGAAATTTCCTGTGTGTTGGGAATGATGATCCTTTATGCATCTAGTCCAACGGTTGGGACTCTTTGGAGAAACAATGGTCCCACTTTCAAGAACCCAACAATGGTCCTTCGATTAACATTTTTGCATGCTCAACTTAGGCCACCAGAAAAGCAACACCTGCACACCCACACTTCTAGCCCTGCGCCTCTCATCCACCACCAGAAAATTCTCTGCTTCTCGGACCAACCAATGGTGAGAGCAGGTCCAATGGTCTCAAATTCAGCGATTTTGGGCTTTTTTTGGCGACCCAACCTACTCCAATATGGGTTGTCAAAAGTGGACTAGCATTTTTGGATCGGGAATGGGTCGCCAAAAAGGCTACCAATACTGCAATAGCTGGTCTGCAATTGCGGGCCCTCTCTGTTTTTTTATTTTTAAATTATGTGGCCCAATCTACTCTGACCCAGATTTACTTTAGCCCAATAATTCATTTAAGGGCGTGTTTGGATGGAAATAAATTCCAAAAATTAGTTTTTATTGCCTTTTTTTTTTTTTTTTTTTTTTTTTTCCTCAACATAATTGAACCAAAGAGCCGTTAAGGCACTGTTTGGCTACGCCTTAAAGGTTTTTATGGGCAAAAAAAGTTTAAAAAATTAGATAAGTGATTTTTTTTCCTTTTAAAATTTTTTAATGTTTGGCTGATTCAAACAATGCCTTAACGACTCTATGGATTGGACAAAAGCTTCATGCCGCCTGCTTAAATGCTTGAGTTAGTGATAATTGACAAAGTTTGCGCCATTGTATGCAAAGTGAAGGTTAAGGGTTCAAGTTTCATTAGGAGGAGCAATTATTTTCCAGGACCAAACATAAAAATAAAATACTAAAGTAGCTGGTTTAAAGTTGATTGGCTGTGGCCCTGAAAATGTTATGACCTGCATATATTTTCATGGCCTATGATCCAGATTTTAAAACAAGATAGATTACACTTTGATTTAGCAGCACAAAATTAAGTCTTATCATATATATATATATCTACTAGATTTAATCTTTTAAAGTCATTTCACTCCATATTTCAACCTTCCAAATGCAATGGGAAGGTCTCAGTCAGCTCTCCTCCCTCTATCTCCTATGAAAGTGAAACAGAATGGAAAAGAGATATAAGGGATTTTATGACTGCACAACTTAAAGTAGTAATGTGCAATGGATATATTTAGACCGTTCGTGTAATACATATGCGATAATAAAACATTAGATATGATATGTTTGTTGCATGGTGCAATGGATGCAATTTTTTATTTTATTTTTTATTATAAATTGCACCCAATATGTAATGGACAATAAATTACTGGTGCAAAGGACGGTTACAAAAATTCTATCAAAATGCGTATATCAGTTTTTTTTTTTTTTTTTTTTGGTTCTATTGTATGAAATATTCATCATTGCAATCGTTACAACAATAACGTGATATAATGAACAACTACAAAAATATCAAAGTATATATATCAAAATTTTGGTTTTATGGTGGGTCCACATACACATCAAAAACAGGGAAAAAAAATCAAATTTAGATGAAAGTATTTTTTTAACAGAATTTAGAAGAAATTTATTTTCAAGAAAGATACAAATATCTCTTGAAAAAAAATACAAAAACAAATATCTCGTACGGAGTATATTTTAAAATGTACTAACAATTATTGACACTTACCAAATACTCTATAAATACAACGTTAGACCCTTTGGGGAGACAGAAAAAGGGACCCGGTGGCAGTTTGGTACGTTCCTATCGATGCAAATTATAAACGATCATAATATAAGTTTGAATCCTTTCATGAATTTTGTTAGGGTTGTGTTATTTGGTTGATGATTATATTTTGTGTTTGCTTACATCTCCCATTATCTCTGTTTCACACTGAGATTTGAATGCAGAATTTTGTTAGGTTATGTTATTTGAATGATGATTATATTTTTGTGTTTGCTTGCATCCACCATAATCTCTGTTTCACACCGAGAATTGAATATAAAATTGGTTTATTCACAGAGTTGTATAAATTCGAGGTTTACATTTTCATTTGGGTTCATATTAAGACTGACAAATTCACGTTTGCTTTATATGAGATTTCATATGCTGCTTTGATTCTGACGTATTTCGGCCAATTTTTGTTCAGATGTTCTCTTAATTTCTTTGTTGGAGTATAATGGCTCCCGTTGGTGGAAACAGTCGATTGGATGTTGATGACGACGACGACTCATCCTTATTGCATCTCTTTGATGATTATGAAGATTATGAGCGTGAGATGATGAAATATGAAGCTTATCATGACGCGATGAAGCTTGTTGAAGAGTCATTTGCTGTTGGCTTCCTCACTGAACCTATTTTCCCCACTGAAGTTCCTAGTGGTACCTGGTGTTTTTGAGTTTAATTAATCCATCCTATGTACCTTTGTTTTGAATGTATTTATATCATCATATATATTGTATTTGCTGCTAATAACTAGAACATTTTGTTGTTCTTTTATGACGCTACTTTCCCCACTGAAATTGCTAGTGGTACCTGGTGTTTTTGAGTTTAATTAATTCATCCCATGCACCTTTGTTTTGAATGAATATATATCATAATATATATTGTAATTGCTGGTAATAACTAGAAAATTTTGTGGTTCATTCAACAGGAGTCAAAAATGTGGTTCAGTCAACAGGAGTCAAAAATGGTGAATTGGAAGGAATGCATGGAACTTCTTCTATGGCTAGGGGTAACACCAGTGATGGAGTAAAGAGTCGATTGGATGATGATGATGATGACGACTCATCCTTGTTGCATCTCTTTGATGATTATGAAGATTATGAGCGTGAGTTGAGGAAATATGATTCTTATCATGACACGATGAAGTTTGTTGACGAGTTACTTGCTGACAATACTTTCCTCACTCAAATTGCTAGTGGTACTGGTGTTTTTGAGTTCAATTGATCCATCCTATGTACCTTTGTTTTGAATGTATATATATATCATCATATATATTGTATTTGCTGCTAATATCTGGAACATTTTGTGGTTCATTCCACGGGAGACAAAAATGGTGAATTGGAAGGAATGCATGGAAATTCTTCTATGGCTTGGGGTAACACCAACGATGGAGGAGCAAGTGTCTCATTTCTGACCCTAGTGTTTATTGACTATTTCAAAGTAGACATGGATTGGAATCCGATCGTAGTTCAAAGTAGATCTGCCAATGGATTGGAATCCGATCCGATTACTCAGATATGGATTGAACAAAAAAATAAATAACCCGATTACGATTCGAATCCGATAATCCGATTCTTTAACAAATCATATGTGAATTTATGCTGATCCGATCCGATAATAATCCGATCCAATTATATATATATATATATATATATATATATATATATTCTGTTATATGTATACAATACTCTTATCATATTTATATTAGATGCAACCAAAAAAAAAAAAAATCATCATGCTGTTATACCAATGGATTGGAATCCGATCCGATTACTCAGCTATGGATTGAACAAAAAAATAAATAACCCGATTACGATTCGAATCCGATAATCCGATTCCTTAACAAATCATATGTGAATTTATGCTGATCCGATCCGATAATAATCCGATCCAATTATATATACAATACTCGTATCATATTTATATTAGATGTAACCAAAAAAAAAAAAAAAATCATCATAATGTTATATGTACAATAGTGTGGTGTTCTCACTCACTTGCTAATAAATCTCCTAATATACATATTAATAATGTCATAAAATTTATTCATTAACAAATAGTTAATGATCTATATATATATTTTTTTCCTTCCATATTTTATTTATTTTTTGTTTTCTATCATTTTTTTCTAATCATTGCTTTTTTTCTCTTTTGACATTAATTTTTTGTTTTAATAAAAAAATAAAATTAAACTTTTATCTGATCAGATCAGATATCCGTTTATTAACAAATCGGATATGGATTCACTATAAAAAAAATCCGTTAGATTATCGGATCAGATCGAGTAAATTGCTTATCGGATTCGGGTCGGATCATGCCAGATCCGATCCGAATCATTCGTTGATAGGTCTAGTTGAAAGTTATTTAATTTTTATAACATCAGTTGAATTTGAGTGAAATTGTCTCATATAAGAACTATTCAAACGCTTTATAAAGTATTGAACACATTGTTTTTTATTTAATTTTTATAATGTCAGTTGTTATTTGCTTCTGTTGTGATGATAAAATTAACCCTAATTTTCATATATTGAATACTCTTCATGCATTGTTTTTTATCTACAAATGATTATTTGTGTTTTGGTTGTGATTTGAATTTGAATTTGGCTAATGGTTCTTAATTTTTATATGAGATATCATCACTATTTACTCTTTTCCTATTCTTTCTTTCTTTTTCTTTTTTTTGTTCATCTTCGAATTTTTGTTTTCTTGTATATATTCATTTATATGATTTGCATCAAAATGCACGTGATAAAAGATAGTTGGTTCGCTGGATTTTTCGTAACAGGTCGGATTCTTTCATTTATAAAATTATAAGATACGGGGGACTCGGCTATAAATAGTCCAATAGTGGACACAGATACTTTGACACATGTGCATAGGTAAAGGATATGTAACTATCTACACTCTTATTGTTAAAGATAAAAAAGGACATGCATCAGTTTGTCCTTATTAGCATAAATAAATAAGTTGTTAAAAGATCACTTTATCGTGCATCAGTTTGTCCTTATGAGCAAAATAAATAAATTGTTAAAAATCACTTTAAATAATAAATAGTCTTAAAACTATAGTTTCTGTCAAGTTTGGTATTGTCACAAATAATTAAACTTCTCTAAGACAAATTTCTCTCTTTTCTTTGGTGAAGAGTAAAAAGAAAAAAAAAATCTCCATTTCTAATTCCTCCATGTGCATCATTTATTGTCTTGTGCTCTATTAGAACCTGCCTTAAGCTGTGTAGATATGGT